GTCTTTTCAGTGTTTCTGAGTGTTTTAATTGTCTGATAGAAGTTGTGCTCAGTCACCAAATTAATTGTGCCACTTGATCACAGAAGTGCACATGTAAAATGGGAAACGACACACAAACTAAAACAACAACAACAATTGTTTAAAGAACAGGATTAGTGAAATATGCATTCATGTATTCGAAACCTGATTCGCCATCCTGCGTGCAGTTTCTGCCTCTGGTGCAGTTTTACACGCTGATCATAAAGGAAAAAAATAATAAAAGAAAAGAATAGAAAAGGTCTCCAGTGAAAGCCTTACAGATGGACTTGTTTTTGTTGACACTTCAAATATGGACGCACTGAAACTTAATACGGGTATCTGTCTGATCCTGCGTGTGTTCCTACTCGTGAAATAGTTCCAGTACGACTTTACTGCAGCGTGACGCTCACATCTGAGTCGAGCAGTCAGATGGTGGAGGAGGAGCAATGTCAAATTAAGCAAATGCAAATTATGCTCTGCAACGTTATCAAGTGGAGGAACAAAATCCAGCAGTTTCAACACAAGTAATTAGATAAAACATGTAAAATACCAACACACGGGCAAGTTTAAAGTTGCAGCAGAAGGAAACAGTCTGTCTTTGGGAAGAGGTAATTTTTTAAATTGCTGCCGGGTAATGTTCCGATCTGAGCTTCCCTACAATCTCACAGCTCACCAATGTTAYATTTTTGGAAAAGACTACTTTTGTCCTGATTTGTTTAAGGCACTTGTCAAACTTAAGGCCTGTGGGCCAAATGTGGTCCACAGGCGACTTCTGTCTGGTCAGCTGATGGGGGTTCTCCCCCCCAAAAAATGTTTTCTATATATTTATTTATTTGCTTWATTTATTTGGGGGCTGTGGCGGAGTGGTTAAGGGAGTCGCCCTGTAACAAGGGGRTGCTGTTTGATCCCCAGTTCTCAGGGTTCATACAGGTTTGAATAAGTTAAATTTAAGACCTTTTAAGACCATTAGAAATGACATTTAAAACCAAACTGACGCATTAACAGAAACATTCAAATGGTCCCAGAAATTTTAACATAGAAACATTTTATTGCTGTCATTTTAGCTATTAAAGAATATTTTATTTTAATACAAGAACACTGAATTATTTTAATGAAACGGTCATATCGATGAGACCTTCATATCGACTGCTGTGGACTGCTTCAAACAGAGTGCAAAAATCACAGATATCAAGCCAAGTCTCATTGAAAACACATATCCCATGTTTAAACAACAAGCAGTGGACATGACTGAACTTCTTTGTTTTTTGGGCAGGTGAACAAGCGGGGGGCTGTAGCGGCAAAGACGTTGAAAACATGAAGTAAACTGTGACATTTCTTGCCTGCAGTTAGCACAGGATTTGTAGTTTAACCACAGACTGAGACCGGTAGCCAACTAAGCACTTCATAAGGACAGATCGAGTCAACCTCTGATTACAGCGCTTTACTCTGTTTATTTATGCAGCCAACGCTTTTCAGGAATGATCGAAAGTAAAAAAAATTAAGACTTGACAAAATTAAATTTAAGAACTTGCATGAAAATCTGGCCATTTTAAGACTTTTTTAGGCCTAAAATTTTGATTTTCAAATTTCAGATTTCTTTAGACCGTTTAAGACCCTGCATGAACCCTGTGTGTCGTTGTGTCCTTGGGCAGGACACTTCACCCACCTTGGCTACTGATAGTGGTCAGAGGGGCCTGTGGCACATGATGGCAGCCCTGCCTCTGTCAGTCTGCCCCATGGCAGCTGTGGCTACATTGTAGTTTACCATCATCAGTGTGTGAATGATGAATGAAATTGTAAAGCATCTTTGAGAGTCTGGAAAAACGCTACATAAACCTAAAGCATTATTATTATTATTATTATTATTATTATTATTATAGTAATAATAATAATTTAATAAAGAATAGATTTTATGTCATTTGTAAATTTTAAATTTATGATTCAAAGCAACAAATTAGACACATTTAAAAAGGTGAAAGATATTACTACTTGTCCAGCCCCTCAGCTTTGACTAACTGCAGCCCCCTGAGCAGTTTAGTTGAACAGGCCTGCATTAATGACTTTAAAAAAAGCTGCTTCAAAGCCAGCAGTGACCATAAACTACATCTCCCATAAMGCATGCTGATTATATATGGGAATTCCCTGTCGGAAAGTGGGAGAATTCAGAATTCAAGATGGCAGCTACTCACCAAAACTCAACAGCGAGTAAAACTCTCTTACTTTTACTTTTAATAGTTTTTCTGTATTATTTATTTCACATTTAGTCAGTCGTACACGGATTTTCCAGTGTTTATAAGAGGACCTGTTTAAATGCTGTTTCTATGCAGGAAATACCAGGTAGAGCTCAGTTATTGTTTGTAAGCGATGCTCAATTGTAGCAATGAGACGATGAACGTGATGTTTCGAGTTTAGTCAAAGTTAAACACATCAAAGCTAATTACAACTGGCTCTTTAAGGGCTGCTGTAACACTCATGTGGCCCTCAGTGAAAATGAGTTTAACACTCCTGGTTTAAGGATTTCACAGGAAAAGTAAGCCCCTCAAATTTTCTAAGTAATTGCGAGCAGTATAAAGGCATTTATGAGTACTTTTTTGGTTTGAAAAACGTGGTATCACAGCATTACAGCACAGAGGCGTACTTACCATCCCTTCCTGGATGTTGCCAGGCCACCAGGCTATGGCGGGCTCCCTCATGCCCCCCTCAAATGTGGTCTCCTTCCCACAGAGGAAGGGCCCGTTGCTGCCACCTGAGGAATCAGATCCATATCTCTTTTTATAACAACAAAGAAGCAGAAAGTGAATCAAATGGCTGATATGTGGGAGGAAAAAAAAGTACCTACTTGCTTTTGGACCAGACATTAGAGCTGCTCCGTTGTCCGAAGTAAAGAAGACAAATGTGTTCTTTTCTATTCCCAGACTCTGAAGCGTTTTTAGGATCTGACCCACGCTGAAGTCCAGCTCCATCACAGCGTCTCCATAACTGGGGGTATGGACACAATCGTAATTTAAAAATTTTAAGAAAGTATGAAATGATGCATGTTCAGGTCCTTGTGTCAATAAGGAGTCAGTAAAGTAAAGCAGGAGCTACCGGCCTCGCTGGCTCTTCCCTAAGAATTGTTTGGAGGCGTAAACGGGGGCGTGGGTGGCATCGGCTGCCCAGTAGAGGAAGAAGGGCTGTTTGGCTTTGGCCTGGCGAAGGATGAAATCTAGACCTTCCTGCAGACGTGGGAGGAAGGACAAACTGTTATTACACTGTTCATCCACATTTTTCTTCCCATATTCACAAAAAAATTCTCATTCAAGTTGTTTTAACAGGACGTTTAGCTAAAAAACAAGGTAAACAATAAGATTAGAAGCTGATGTTTTATCTGCATTTATAATAACTTCATCTCATCCTGACTTTAAGGCCAGTTTTTGTTTGATCAAATCATCACATTGATAAAAAGAACCATAAATCTTTTATTTTATTTTTTTGTAATATAACTAAATCCAGTTGCCCCTAAAATTCCTTAAAAAAGCCTTTCAACATTTTTTATTATTTTTTGTAAGTGTGTCAAACTAAAGGTAGGAACTAGAGAAAGTTGTCTGACACCCTAGTTTCCAAAATAAAAGCCCCTGGTAATGTTTGAAAACGTTTAAAGGCAGAAACTGCACCCTTTTTGCCCACTGGTGGAACAAAGACTGTTAATATTTTGCATTTACACGCTTGAAGTTGCAGGAAAAAGCACAGTGGGTCATAAATTTTAATGRAGATATTAGTTTTCAATAAAACATTTATGTACAAAGTTACTTTTAAACTGAACAAAAGAACAAAAACAAATAATTATTTAGCAGTAATATGAATAGTTATCAGCCTAACTGTAGACATATGAAACAAAAACACAATATAAACTTCACAAAGATGGAAGTTACTAACAAGTTACTTGAAATTGAACTGATTTTATTGATTTAATTTGATGTGAGAGCTGAAAAATCTCATAGTTATATTCTATTATACATTACTTTTTCTGATGGTTATGTAAAAAATATAAAAAAGTACTAAACATTTAGTGTAAAATTAGACTGTGTTTTTTTTTACATGAAATACCTATATTTCTATTGATTTTAGGAACAYAAATCAAAAAGCACAAATGCATTTTTTCCTTTTTGTGTCATCGTTGAAACAACTTCTCAGCTGAAACCAARTGAGCTTCCAAAGCCACACAAACATGAGCTTTAAAAAGCTGCACACATCAGACCCATCCTCCTAATGTGAAGACAAATTACACTTCTCAAGCATGCCGTGTGTCTCAGCGTGCTGCTTTTGATCCTGTTAAGAACATAATCAGACAGACTGATGTCGGCGACAGAGAATCATCASCAGAGTATAAAAAGGTCAATAATCCACCTCGGCTGGTGAAAGCATCATTATAATAAAACATAAAACTACATTTTTTAAAAGTGGAAAATTTGTTTTTGTGCCTTTATGTTTATGTGAGTTAAAACCCYTTGTGTATTTTATATAAAAACGGATGTTTTAATAAAAGTCCCAGCTGATCTGAGTCAAACATTCACCTACCATTAAATACATGTGTGTGAGGTTTGATTCTCCCGTGTTCTGGTTGATCTTGAAGTCCTCAAAGTACCTGGAAAACAAGTTGACACCATTTAGAACCTAGACTTAGAGGGTGACCCATTAGGGATTTTCAATGGCTGAACTAAATGAGAATTTGAGCGTTAAATACTGTATAACAAAAATGGTTCAATGTTCTATTAACATTTTAAAAAATAAAATCCAAAAAAAAAGAGAAAAGAAATTTGGGCCAGCATTTATAGTAACAGTTAAAAGTGTAAAAAGCATGATTTTTATCACTTACCACTGTAAAAGGCTGATGATCATGTTATTGTCTGTGTGTTTGATTAACAGCAACAAATATCTTTCGAACCACAGAACAAACTTAACTGAAACTCTGAAAGGAATCACTGAATGTCCACCTACAACTCATCTTTTCTTAAAGAGGACATATCCTGCAAAAATCCACTTTTTAGCCAATAAATGCATTTTGTTGTCTACTTGGAGTCTCTAGAAGTGCAGAAAATTTTAATTTAGTTTCTCCAGGTGCTGTGTAGATAGCTTTATATTCTGTTTGGCTCATATTTTACAACCAATTCAGTTTTCTTTATTTTCCATGATGTCAGGGTTCCCACAGTTCAAGGCAAGTTAAATTGAAGACCTTTTTAATGCCACTTGAAATGAAATTTAAGACCAGTTTCACAATAAACTCAAATGGGGAAAAGTTTGTAACAAATTTTACCCAAATGTTTATTTTAACACAAAACAACTAGGTGCAAAAGGCATTCAGTAAATTATTTAAAATAAATAAATACATTTTACCAATTATTTCAATATTTGAGATGAATTACAATCAGTGTGTTAACATTTTTTTATTTTCTGATTGATTTAAACATTTTAAGTCTAATTAAGGCCTTATTTTTGGATCGATGAATTCAACGCTCTTAAGATTGTTTAAGGATCTGAAGGATGTTTTTCTGAACTATTATGTCAGTATTTGAGACCAAATTTCTAAATAAGTTTGGACTTACCAACTACAGTTTCATTATCTTCGTTCTCCTCTGCCTCTGGGTCAGACAAGTCTTCCCTTGTTGACATCTCCTAATTAATTTGTAAATAAAATGTTTCTGCTAAATTGTCATAAACCCCTCTATCAAACTAGAATGGGCWGATCTAGAACCTGGAGGTAAGCGGGGTGTAAAGCTCCTCGTTTGGATTTTTTGGATCTTAGACACACCCCAGAAAATGGGCGGGGCTTGTGCAGTTGCAATAAGGTGGAATTCAGACCAAAGCATCGCAGTTCCACTTTATTTAGAACCCAACTAAAGGGTTACAACTTATTTAGTTTTATAGAAGTTAAGCTTAAATGTGGTGTGGTAGTAGCTGAGAGTCATCCTCCACACATGTTCAAAGTGTGGACAGATTGTAGAAGATCTTTGTTCCAAACTTTGGCATATACAAGCCACTGGGCAGTTTGATTTCTTACAAGGTGTGTTTGATGATAAGTATGACAAAGTATTAATATTCAGTTATAATATTACGAGAATTAAGTCATAATCTTTCATGACATGTCCTTTTTCTGTTCCTGATTTGTCCTCATTTCCTCCTCATTTTCCTCACACCTGCTGTGGACAGCAATGTGTGTCATTTAAGTAATCTGCAAAGACTTTTGGGTCAATATATGCTTTCATCCAAATTATGTGACGACTAAATCTGATAATGCAGCCATTAATAACAAAATGGCTTCAGTTTATCATATAGTCGTTTGCAATCGTTTCAAAGTCCTGCTACTGATAATTTGATGCTAATGTGCTAAAAGATTAAGTATTTCTTTACGCTGATACTAAAGAACAACTTCACAAGTTGCTCAACATTCCTCATTTTAATGCAGGGGTTAGATTGCGTTTTCGTGTAAAAGTTCTCATATTACGACTTTATTCTCATGCGACTTTAATCTCGTAATATTATGACTTTTTTCTCATAATATTACAACTTTTCTTGTAATGTTACAGCTTTATTCTCATACTATTACGACTTTATTCTCATACGACTTTAATCTCGTAATATTATGACTTTTTTCTCATAATATTACAACTTTTCTTGTAATATTACAACTTTATTCTCACAATATTACGACTTTATTCTCATGTGACTTTATTCTTGTACTACGACTTTTCTCATGATGTTGCAACTTTATTCTCATAATAGTACAACTTTATTCTCATATTATTTTATTCTCATACCACTTTACTCTCATATTACAACTGTATTCTCATAATATTATTTTATTCTCATACAACTTTATTCTCACAATATTATGACTTTTTTTCAGAAAATTTAGACTTTATTCTCATACTATTACGACTTTGTTCTCATAATATTACAACTTTATTCTCATAATAGTACAACTTTATTCTCATATTATTTTATTCTCATACCACTTTACTCTCATATTACAACTGTATTCTCATAAAATTATGTCTTTATTCTCGTAATAATAATAAAAAAATCTCATTGTGTGGCCCTAATACTCCGTTGTAGATAAGAAACTGTTACAACAAACCAAAAAACCACAAGACAAATTACACCACATTTTTCCTTATCACACAACTTACATCTGTGTGAGACTTTAAAAAGAAGTGATGTGACGGATCTTCAGTTCAGATAATGCATGTCACTTCCTCTCTTCTTAAACAGAATAAAAGCTCCTGCTGAAAATATCATTAGGACAATGTTTGCAAATTTATTTTCCACCTGTTGACTGGATATTTTGGCGAAAGACATCTGTGGGAAGTCTCGGCAAAGCCGAGCAGCGGGAACTGTTATGAGGCGCTACTGAAGCYTGCCGCTGCGAGCCGAGAAGCAGTGACAGAAATCTTTTTCTCATGCTTCACTTCATCCAGGTGTCCTCACACTCAGACAACGCAACCTGCCGTCTCTGGAGGGCGTGTGTGTCTCTGTGTCTTCATGCCTTCATCTCTGTGTGTGTGTGTGTGTGTGTTCCTGTCCAGGGCCCAGGTATGCAGTGCTGATTAAACCCACGGCTAAGCGAAAAACACGCCCGGCTGCCAGTTCCAGTGACCCTGAATACACATATGGCTGTTTGGGGGAAAACAAATGGGCGGAAAATGGAATACACAAGCCCAGCTGGTACAGAGGAGGAAATGGGATGTGGGGGTTTGGGGGTGTGCAGGGGAGCACTCAACTCATCCAGAGAAGCAGAAAAAAAAAACTAACTTTACGACAGAGTCACGTTTAAGACAAAAAAACCTGACTTCTATAGATTTTAGATCTCTTGTTTCTGTGTTTGCTGCTACCTTCCAAGCATCTCAGAGTTGTTGTAAACGGGGATGTTGGGTCTGCTGATGRCGTCGTAGGGACCAAAGTGGCAGTTTGGTGAACCAAACCACTCATCAAAACCATTTTCTAGAGGAAGGTACTGTGGTCGGTGGCCCAGATGCCTGCAACGAAACAAAACGTAACAAAACGAAACAAAAAAAAAGTCTCAAACACAACACAATCGGTACAGCAAAGTTTTCTGTTAGGGCTGCAAGATATCTAGAACATTAAGCATCGATACATTTAGAACCTAAAATGAAAACAGACATACATTTTGCACAAGTTCCTGTATTTTACACCGACTGAATAGAAGTTCTACTTGTTAAGTGTTTTGTGAACTGCTGCAACGACGTGTCAGCATTTAATMGGTTTCCTTGCAATGCTGCACAAAAACGAGCCAAAATGCATARGTGACCCATCATCTCAAAACAAGGACAAAGTCTAAAAGTGGGATGTGGAGAAACAGGCAGACATAGTGTTTTGATTCAAACTTTGCAAAAATGAATAAATTCCTTATCGATGTATCATTTAAATGAAATGTCTGAAATATAAACCTAAAATTTTTGTAGCACTTTTTTGAGTAGCAACAACATCAACAACAAAAAGATTTTGAGGAAAAACAGTTACAATTTTTTTGAGTGAGCTAGCAAAGTTTTTTTTTCTTTCCAGCTGGGAAATCTCAATATTCAAATACTAAAATTCCTCATTAAAATTACATAAAATTAGGATTCAGACCAAATATTAATGTATCGTTGTAACCATATACTGTATCTCTGATCCAGGTGTCAAAATGTACATTTAAAGCCAGGACTCAGAAAATGTGATTAGGTCATTTTGGCCAAATTTGACTTAATCCTCGTGTCGGTATGATGGGTCACAGTTGTACATTCTAAGGCTGGATGGAAAMGATCCTTTATAACATGTGTGGCTCAATCATCTTTTCTACTTCTGCATGAGAGATCCCATCTCTTATTGTTTTAAATCCCTCTACAGTACGAGGTCCTTTGCTTATGCTGCTTCTAATAACTTACTAAGCTTTACTGCGGTCGTTTCTGTTTCTCTTTTTTAAAAGTGGTTTAAAAGCTTTCTTTAGTGATACGTTAAAAAGTTTTACCACCTAATGATGATATTAGAGACCAAAAAAATTTTTTTTTCCATCAGAATTGTGATTCTCATTTACAATGATTCAGAATCGATTTAAAACGTTCCAATTTAAAAATTAAAAATAAAGCAAATCCAGTGGCTGTCAGCCTCCATATTGCAACTACGGGACGTCCTGACATCAACATGCAGCTGGTTCTGGAGCGTACGGATGCGCTGAAAGCACCAAAATAAAGAGGAAACTACAAAAATGGAGGAAAGAGAGATTCAACCGGCCCCGTCTTCGTTAAAGGCAACGATTTGGGCTCATTTTGTTTTTGAACGAATGAGTCTGAGTTTGACCTGAGCTTCACTGTGTGCGAGGTTTGCAAAAATGAACATGACGCACTTTGGGAACACGACAAATCTATTTATTTATTTTTAATTTATTAACTTCATTTAAAAACAAAATAAACTCCGTACACAACAGAAGAAAAAATACAAATAAAATGGGCTCACATTATCAGAATAATCGATTTTGAACTGAATCATGGTCTGAAAAATCAGAACTGAATCGAAGTGAATTGAAGTGAATTGTGAGATAATAAAAGATTTCCACCACTAGATATGTGAAGTGATTTTCTGATTCAACTTTTTTTAGCTATTGTGTTTTGATATAGCACTTTTATGCCCTTTTTATCATTGAAATTGTATAGTTTGTTTGTTTTCCCTTCTCRCTTCAGGCTAGCATTGTAAATAAGAATAAGTAATATCCTGCCGGGCTAAAAAAGGCTTAAATAAAACAGAATAAATCAGATAATGTTTCCATCTTTGATCTTTGACAACATTAAACAAACGTAGAGGTAAGGAGCTCACCACTTGCCGACTATCTTGCTGACATAACCTTTTTTCTTCAGCAACTGAGGCAACAAGATCTCATCTTTGGAGATTCCCCCCACTATCTCCTGGGGTGTATATGCTACAAATAAGGCAAAAAATATATACATATTAATCAAGTACTGTATGTATTATTCAAAACTTCATGACTTTTTCCCCTGCAAATGAACCGGAAATTAAATAAATGAGAGTTTACCGTTTCTGGCGTGAGCGTTGGTGGTGTAGAAACCATTTCTGACCGGCAGCCTCCCGGTGAGAAGAGCAGCTCTGGCTGTGGACACATTTTTATTTTCTTTTGAGGATTTTTTTTATGTTAATTTATTTATTTAATTTTAACAGAGAACAACTTATCCCGATCGGAAGAGGTTAAAATGAAAATCACAACATTTTTATGCTTTTAATGCATAAAACAACTGATGCAGTCGCACAGAGTTACATGTTTGCCTGCATTATGTGGCAAAAGGCAATAAAAATAAACAGAATGCGCACTGTGGTAAACAAAACTGCAACGACAAGAGCAGTCAGAACTGCAGAGTGACCGTAGTTTATTTGTTTGTTTATGAATCTCAGACGATGAGTTGTTGAGATGTTGTTGTTTATCACAGCATCTCATGTAAGACTTTTAAAGGGCCCCATCACTGAACCAGAGGAAAAAAATAATAAAAAACTCTTACGCTCAAGATTTATGTTGTTCTTTAACAGTTTTAAATTAAATGTAAGGACTAAATAAATCAAACTGCAGTCTGTATTTTTTATATTAATTGTTATTAGTCGTTTGTTTCAGCCCTTTACTGTGCCACACTTTTTTTTTCCCACAAAAACTCAGCAGTAAATTTGTACTTTTACATTTTTTAAAAACTCATAAATGATTCATGTCAATGTGGAGTAACCAGCACACATTAAGGAGTTAGGAAAAGGGCTGAGATGACACAGGAAGTGCTGTTTTATGAAGCTTTCTGCTGACTCACATGGGGAACACAGTGGGTTGGCTGTGTAGAAGTTGGTGAAGAGCATGCCCTGAGCTGCCATCGCGTCCAGATTGGGGGTCTCTTTGGAGGGCTGACCCAACACCCCCAAGTCCCCCCAACCCATCTGAAAAACACAGGAAGCCAGTCAACTTATTAACGAGCTGATGGAGAAAACAGCTGTCCCTGGTGCCTTAAATAAAAGTCAAAGTCAGAGCTTTTGTGATGAAGTTTAAGCAAACAAACAGGAAATATCTTACGTCATCCATAAGCATTATGATAATGTTTGGAGGTGAAACATTTGAAATCGTCTCTGCCAAAGAATAACATATTAATAAACTTAGGAGAATTAAAGCTGGCGCGGACATCTCACTGCGCTGCTGTGGTCATATGAGCACGCGCATCCAGGAAGAGTTTTCTATTTTGCTTTCAAGTTCCCTTCATGTGCAGCACTTCCGCATAAGAATATAAAAAAATAAAATATTTTCAACAATTAATTTAAAGCTTTAATTCATTTAAACATTTCCTTACTGTCGAAATTTGTTAAGTTAGTAGATAGTTTTATCTGTGTAGCATTTAGCAACCGCTGATAAACTTTTAAACTTGTGTCAATAAGATTTGCAATCAGATTGAAATAACGACACATAATTAAAATATCAAAGTGAAAATTTAAACTCACGTTACCTGTAGAACTATATGACTCGCGATTTAAAAAAATACTGATAATATAATGCAAACATTTTAAATCAAGCCAAAAAATGTAAGCAGATTCAAGTTGATGCTCGTTTTTCCGTGAGCGCCTGAACGCATCGTGTCACGTGACATCAGCTGACAGAACGGACACAACTAACATGGCGGTGTGCATAGCAGTTATCGCTAAAGAGGTAATGATTGCTTGTTAAACTACCCGTTTCATACAAACATTTATACATATTTGACATTATAACGTTTTAATAGTTTCTATGGTTTTTTTGAGCTGATTGTCAGGTTGTTTTTATAGCTGAAAAATGTTCAGGTAAAACATAACAAAAATGCTAAATGTGTTAGCACTACTATCTTCTGCCAAAACGTATTAGATTTAATGCTTTTAACAGGTTTTCTTTGTCTGTTTTACTTTCTGATTTTTTGTTAGAACTACCCACTGTATATTCGCAGTGTACCCACCCAAAATGAGCTGAAGTTTCACTACACAGTACACACCTCTCTAGATGTGGTGGAGGAGAAGATCTCTGCAGTGGGGAAGTCCATAGGAGACCAGAGGGAGCTTTATCTGGGACTGCTGTATCCCACTGAAGACTATAAAGTGTATCCTTCATGACTATGTGGTAAAGACTTGTGTTTTAAACAAACCATTTTCTTGTCACTGAGTTTTAGCAAATGGAATCAACTATTAATCCACTAGTATAAAGATAAAATAACCTCTGTTAAACCAGATGTATTTATGTTTTGTCAAGTAAAAAATGCAGAATCCTTAGATATAAAATGTTTTGTTGAAGCAGTTGAGGCCCTGGATATGAGGGATGGGCAATCAAGTTTTCTAAATGGCCAAATATCCTTGACTGCAGGAAACAGATATGGGTATGTAACCAACTCCAAGGTGAAATTTGTGATTGTTGTCGACTCATCGAATACATCATTGCGGGACAATGAAATAAGGAGTGTAAGTAGTTTCAGGTGAACACATTGCAATGCAGACCACGGTTTTTACTTTGAATTTAACAAATTTTATTTTGCGTTGAATATCTTTACTAAATTCAGCAATTTATTTTTGTTGTGAAACATATCTGAAACATATACATCTCTTGCATTTAAGAGAAACAGATAAGTAGCTTTCAATTACATTTTTGATTTTCACATTTTACCCATGTACTTTAGTTTATTCATATTACAAAAAAAAAAAAAAACCTTAAAATTTAATATAAAACTATTCATATCCCTTGTATTTCTTTCAGATGTTCAGAAAATTGCACAATTCTTTCACTGATGTAATGTGCAACCCCTTCTACAATCCTGGGGATCCAATTCAGTCCAAGTAAGTTTGTCTTGTTTATATTTAAATATAAAATGTACTAAAGACAATAGCAAACTTATTTTTTTCCTCCCAGGGCTTTTAATGGGATTGTGTCTGGAATGATGGTACAAACTGGCTGATCACCTCTTTCCTCACCCGCTTTGATGAAGATCCGCTGTACTGACCACCCTTTTTCATTTATGTTGCCTTGTGTTTTGAAATCGTGAATAAACTTAAGTATTGCCGAACATGACTACGTGTTTATTTTGAGCACTGAATCATTGTTTTATTTAAATCACAAAGCAAAGACTTTATAAGGTACACATAGGGATGTTTAAATATTACAGACAGCAACACACAACATTCCCATCACTTAGTAAAAACAGAAGCAGCAGCTGAATAACTTGACTGTCCCATGCATTCACAGCAACAAACCTGACCTCAGTCAACCTTTGTCACAACTCACCCGGATGAACAGTTGACACGGGTCAACTCGGCACATCACAGGGTAAAATCAATACCTAAAAGAATTTACAGGTTAAAATCAGTCCCACCCCGCAGAGATGAATTGTGGGTAGCGTTAGCGCTGCTGTGCGTAGTTCTGTCCACTCGACACTGTCCCCACTTCCTCTGACGGTGGTGTGATGAGAAGAAGACACGGGTAGCGTTTTGCAGTTTGTTCGTGGTTGTCCATGTGTCCCCACTGTCTCTTTCCCACAGACGATCCTCCATAATAAGGGTGGGGAGATTGGTGCTGAGGTCTGGACGACTGGTACCGGAATCTGCCTCTCGAGTTGTTTTGGTATCTGGGAGGACGGTAACCACGCCCCCTGCCTCTGGAGTGGCCGCCTCTGTGTCCTCCGCGGTCTGTGGTGCTGATTCCTGGGAAGTTGGTTCTCTTGGGCAACACCTGGGAGCCAGAAGAGTTTGCATTCATTTTTTAGAAATAATAAAAGGGAGTGAAAAACAAAAAGTGAGCATTTCATTTTATTTCAAGGACAACCCAGACCCCTCGGTGTAGCAAATATGTTTGTTCCTTGTAAAGTCTGACGACCTGCATGTGCTAATTGGAATTCAATGGACACCTGACAGTGTACAGGATTTAAACCTTCAGGAGGAGATTAACTGTAGACACATCAAGTACATTTAAACAACATTTCACACAAACTTGTATACTGAAGGACTAAATTAAGTTTTTAAACACGATCTGGCAGCTCAGCTAAAAGAGTGATATAGAGCAGTGTTTTTCAAAATGGGGGCTGCGACCCCCTGGGTGGGGTGTCTCAGAAAGCTGGAGGGAAGATAAGGGGAAAGAAATGCAAAAATAAATCTAATAAATGTTTTAAAACAAAAGTGAATGTTTTAAAGTACAATTTTTCAAGCTAGAGGTTTGATTTCTGTTATTATAAGCAGTTTGTATTTTTTTTTGTTTATTTTTTTCCCCAGAGGGTATACAGTGTTTAAAACAGTTTGTGGATTTGCAAGGGGGGGTCCCCCAGCAAGAAGTTCATACCGTTTGGGAACCACTGATATAGAAAATATTTAAGTTTGGAAACTAGTGATTACCCCCTCCAAAAAAAATAAATCAATAAATAAATAAAATAAAAAACAAACAGAATAAAATCTATAGCCTTTGTAAACAATCTCAGGCTCAAATCACCTCAAAGCCATTTTTTGCTGTCAAGCACAGACAGTAGCTTTGTTTATACATGTTACCAATAAGGTAAAGCTTTCCCCCAAAACATTTAGCAAAAAAATAAAAAAATCAAACAAAAGATGCTTCTGATACACCAAATGACTTTACTGCTGCTCAAGACTTAAGTTCAGTAAATGTTACCTTGAGAACTCTTCCTCTGAACACCGTCTCATGCAAACCAACAGCACTCTGCACAGAGTCCCGATCAGAGAATTCGATGTAAGCAAAGCTGTGAAGGACAAAGAAAAAAGCAAAACAATTACACCGGAATACTTTTACCCTGTAAGCATCTGTATATATTAAAAAAAAAAAAAACTAAATAAAACCTACCCCTTGGGATGACCGGAGAAGCGGTCACACAAGATGGTAACTCTGTTCACAGGACCACAGCCGTTGAAATGGATCTCCAGCTCCTCTGCAGTAGCACCATAATCTACCTGTGGTGTATTCAGCGTGTCAGACCAGAGTTGTAAAACCATGCACGATAAGGTGACAAACACAGAAGCCTTACATTTCCAACATAGACTGATCTGTTGTCTGCATCCATCCGCTCCTCTGGAGTCATATTGTAGAATGGTCCTGTGATGGAAAAGGAAATAAAATTAAAAAAAATCATGCACAAGGCTTCTCTAGTTTTGTTGACTGCTAGTTGGAAAGCTTTTCTCTGTTGCATTGTCCCCGTTTACCGATTACTTCCTCTAATATATCTGTTCTTGTATGATGTTTGAAACAAAACAATTCTGGCTCTTTTAACTGCATTTCTGTTTTATGAATGAGCCCACAGGAACAAAAAGATGAGATCTACAGAAACCAAAAAAAATAAACATAATAACCGCAGGCAGCAAAACAGACACTTCTGGCTCTCTGCGGCTCGCTGCTTCGTCTCATTGGGCAGTGATGAGGCACATGTGAACACTGTTGTGACCACAGCAAAGTGTCCCAGGTGTTGGCCAGATGGCAAAGAATGTGCTTGCCTGCCTTCAGGCTGCAGAACTACAAACCTGGCTACACAAATATGTACATTTCTCATGCCGAGCCCCTTCTTAAAACACGACCAGTATTGTGATGCACAAACAAACAAACAAGTTTGTGCAGAAAACTCCTGAACTGCCTCACCAGGTCGAGGGCTGTTGGTTTGGAGCTGCATCTCATCCATGTCATATCGGTCGTCGTCGTCCTTAAGTTTTTCAGTCTCTTCTTCCATTTCCAGCTCCTGAACCCTGGCTTTGATGGCCATCAACTCCTGAGATAGGAAAATAAAAATAAAAAAAGTAAACCAGAACTTAAACAGAATATATTCAGTAGCCAAGGCACCCGTCACACCAGCTGCAATTTGTTAGAAAGTAGCCAATTAAAAATTTGAGAACTAAAATCCAACAAAGACATTTTCTAATAGATGAAAAGATAATAAAAAATGGCATATTTAGGCGATAGTGTTCTGAACTACAGTAATTTGTTGTCACATTTAGACTAACTGCCTCTGCTTCTGTTTAAACTAAGACTCCTTTCTTATCCATAATCCAGAACTCTTCTGGAAGTATCACAAAGACCCTATTTCTCTCTCATAGCCCCGTTATCTTTTAACATTGGTTTACTGTAAAGTTTGGGATTAAAATTAAATATGTTCTTTTGATATACAAAGTAATAAATCTGACATTAAAGACCCTTTATGTCTTCTGATCAAGGCCTCCTAGCTGTTTGCATTCTTGAAGATAAACCCTATAAAGACAATCCAGGTACTGGTTGGTTTTTGTTACGGGCAAATACATTTTAAAAAAAAAAAGAAAAGGAGGAAACATTTGTTTTCAATGCATTTATCAAAATGTGAATTATTTTTGATGCACTACAGGAATATAATACTGAAGCTCTGCTGGAAGTCTCAGATCCACAAACTGAGTTTGGTAACAATAAATAAATAAAACTAAGATATATCCAATGCATGTTTATGGTGAAAGTATTGAGAGGCCTTCTTAAACGGCCACATGTTTTGAAGCCAGTATTCATAGCGTTTGATGTTTAAAGAATGAAGCAACAGTCTTAAAGCGACTAAATCATCTTAAAAAATAATAAATAAAAATAAAGCAATAATCCACGGAATGCACAACAAAACAAAGCCTGAACACAAAACGCTGCAGGTTGGGCCCACAGCCTCGGCATTGTCCTCAGTAGCCTGATGCTAACTGCTGTAGCTAGTTACTAGCTAGCTAGCGCTCGCGTGAGTCGCCGCGTGAAAATCGCTACGTTAACATTAACGCCGCACAGCGCCGTTTAGCATGCCCATAAAAACCTCGATAACTCACCGGGTCTTCGGCAAAACGTTCGCTTTCAACGTAGCGGTAGTTCAGATGATTTTCCGCCATGATCCTCACTTCACTGCTCAGGCATAATAATCTGCAAAAACCGACCGCAGCGCTTCGCCACGAACAAAACAACAAACAAAAACCCGCTACAAAGAAACCCTCTCACCGGAAGGAAATGAGCTGATGGTGAACAAAGGCGACATATGAGGTAAGCTAATAGATACCACCTGTGTGCAAGGGAGACGTCATCACGCGCTGGAATGATTGACGTGATGCTGCGCACGTGACGTGTCCGTGATGCTGGATGGAGGCGAGCTGTCAGGGCCGGATCTAGGCCCTCTGAGGGTTTGGGGGCCACATTCATCAACACATGAAAACAGCACACCTTAGAATTAGAACTTTAATGAGGTTTGTGATGAACTTGTAAGTATTTTGAGCTGAATTATTAAAAATGTAAACATAAAATTGTTTTATAGATTTTTTTGTTTCATATTGTGCGATGGTGATCGCCCGAACTTTCATTTTCATCCGATACTCAGAATTCCTCCAATAGACCAGAAAATATCCATGTTGAGTTGTTTTGTACATTTAAATCAGCGTGTCAAACTACTTTTCACAGAGCACATGATCCAAATGAGCATTATAGTTGTAAAACATGAAATATCACATTCCTCGTCTTATTGCACCAACTGTGCGGCTCTATGTAGTATTTCCTGCATAGAAACAGCATTTTAGTCAGCATGACTGACTAAAATGTGAAATAAATAATAATACAGAAATACTATTAAAAGTAAAAGAGAGATTTACTCCCTGTTGAGTTGTGGTGAGTAGCTGTCATTTTGAATTCTGGACTCCTCCACTTTCCAACAAGGAATTCCCACTAGAGGAGGTGTTCCAGTTTAAATTCACAACTTGTAAGTGGGAAATTCCCACTTTCTTGTACAACTGGCTGCAACCAAAGTAGCTGGCAAAAACGCTGTGAAAAGGAGATTTTACACAACAAATTTATTCGACTTTTCAACTCTGTGCACCTCCACCTGGTGATGGATTGCCATCATTTTGCAGGTAAAATAATAACATGCATTATGGAAATTGTAGTTTATATTTAATGCTGGCTCTAAAGCAGCATACACTTATTTGAAGACATTAATTAAATTTTAAAGCACTCACAGGTCACATAAAACGCCAAAAAGTTTGGGTCAAGACCCCTTTATGGGTTATGAATTATCAAGTGAGAGTCCCCAGATGATTTCCAGACATCAGTTTAAATGCCAATAAATTGCTAATGAAATATTTCTATCATAATTATTAAAAAACAATAATCATAAATGAATAAAATAGCAGCATATATATTAGAACTGTTTAAATTGTTTTTATATCCATTTTTAAAAGCATTATTAGCATAGTTTTCATACGTAAACCAATAATATCTTTCGCACTGGGTCTGCTGACGCATAAAGAAAATGGCTATATTTCATAATGTTTTTGATGCATTTATATTAATTGGCATCATAAAACCGAGAGTGGTACGTTATGGTGAAACGTGTATTGATTTAAATAGCAGAGAATTTTTTTTCTTTTCATTCTGGAGTTCTTATTTTAAAACAATCCTTCATTTAAATGAGACAAAAAAACAAACAAACAATGGGAGCGGTGAATACGTCATTTCATGTTTTAATTACACAGTTACATTGTTCAACACAGACAATAACCTGAATTAGAATGTTTTACAGCTTCACACATCCAACAGAGCGAACAGTTAAAAAGCAGTATAGCAACAGGGAGGAAAGCATGCAAGAAATAAATACAAATCAGAATTTAATTCCTCTGGCACAGTTCACTTCATCTAAAAATGGCAACAGGACTGTCGGAGGAGGAAGGGTATGAAACAAAGTGGGAAAGACCTCAAAACCTTTCCTACAGTAACATATTTTTTCTGTAATAATGTATTGCACAATACAGTATAGAATGCTTCCCTACACATAGAAAACACTTTATTCAGTTTATGTAAAGGTTTAAAGAAGACCATCCTGAGCCATGGATTTTCTTTTTCTTTCTTTCTTTTTTTTTTTGGAAAACGAGTGCTATGTCCACCGTTTGCCACTTTAGTTTTCTGTTTATCGGAGCCTGTTTGACAGGAAGGACGTGTCACCATCGCGTCAGATGAGCTCTGGAGCGTCACAGCAGAGCTACAGGTTGGGACAGGGGGAGGCAAACGCTGCCCTGCTGATATTCATTCTCTCTGTTTTGCCCACGGTTAAAGAAACTTTTAGGAGACCCTTGGATGGCAATCACCGCAGAGCCCTGATGTATTTGCCGTTTGTAATATATGGAAACAAGAGCAATAATAATGAAACCGCAGCACGGACTGCAAACAAACTCGAAGGAGAGGACTCCCCCCGTGAAGGGAAAGTTTGACAGCTTTAAGGATTTCAGCCTCGTATCCCACACAGTCCTGGAGCAGAGAGACCAAAACCCTCAACAAAAGGGAAATCCACAGAAGAAAGTTGCAGCTATGTTTTTGTTTTCTCTTGTATTTTGGTCATTTCTAAATGTTCTGTTGGGTTTGGCTTTGTTTAATTTATCAGAGGGGTCTACTCGCAGACAAGGAGGTACACACAAAGCCTCAGAGCTGAATGGAACTGTCATCACATTGTTGTTTTGATGCGGATGTTTAAAAAAAACACAAAACCGCTGCTTTATTTTATTTTTTTGTAATCAATGTGCCACTATTGTTCGTCTGGGATGTTTCATTAAAGCTCTGAATATTTCAAGTAGTTTGCACAGAGACATAAAAAAGTGTTTTTTTATAACCAAAACACACAAACCAGCACACAGACACACACTCATCACACATTCATTTTTTTTATATTTTATCTCTGCAAGGCTTTGTTAGAACACACAGTTCGCAGGCTTTTTTCAAAGCAGATGCTTCCGTTGTAGAGCTACACCACTCAGTACATCGTCAACAAGCGCTTTGATTGCTTGGCTAAGAAATGTACACGTCTGAAATGCAACCAGTCTCTTCTTTCCTCAACGCTGGAGTGCGTGTGTGTTTCAGGTACTTTGGTATAGGGCTGCATATCGAAATATCTGCAGGTGTGATATCAATATAGCAAAAGACTGTTTAGACTGCAATAAATCTATCATAGATTAAGTACCATGCATTCATGTTCTTCATGCTAACAATATATTTGGTCAATCCAACAGAGTCTCACCAACCTTGACACACACGCCTGGTTTAGATGACCGTGATGACCGAAGAGAAAGTGAGGAAAATGTGGGTTTATTGCAATATTAATGCAAGTTTTATCTACCATCATGCAGCCCTACTTTGGTAGCTAGTCGAGCTCTAATCTTACTAAAAGTTACAGCCATACAAGTGCTTTGGTTTGTGCTTTTACAACAAATAGCACGTAGTGGTTGGTTCTGTGTTCAGTTTGGTAATAAGCAAGACTTAACCGTGTTTAAATCCAAGCACGTTGGTCAGTTTTCCGCATCACAAGTGATGACAGTTCCTTTCAGCGGGGACCCTCCATGTCTGCTCTCAGCCCAGCTTTTTAAAAGACCAGGTCAGCCTCTCCTGGTGGTTAGCTGTATGCTCACAGGAGGTAGCTAGTGTCAAGAAGAGATGAGAGGAAGGGAAGGGAGGAGTGAGGAGCCTTTTGTGGTGAGAGGAGAAAACGAGGCATGGTACACAAAACAGGACTGAGGTCGACGCTAAAACACGGTAATTAGAACATACAGAAATGCTACACACAGACGCGGGGGGTACCTTGCAGCTTATCTTCTTTTTGAATTTCAGGTCTCAGTTAGTCCAAAAAAAAAAAAAACAGATCTGTTTCAGATTAAAAAGGAACAAGTATGTGTTTTTCCCCCTAAGTTTGGTCCAAGTGTAAATGAGGCCAGCCATGTAGGGTTTTACAAGGATCAATAAAAAAGCTATTAACCTAAGTTATTAATGGACTTAATGAGAAAGGCTTAAAGAAAAAAAAAACAGACTGAAAAGGGTGAAGCTGCTCTCCTGTCCTGGAAATCTGCAGCCTATCAATTTGAGTTTGATTAGAAAAAAAAATCTAATCATAATCCGTCAATTAGCTGAACTTTAATGTTAGAATTTAACAATAAGCCTGATAGTAGCTTAAATAGATAGTTCAGCACTTTTAAAGTGGTAATGATTTAACAGTTTGGAGAAACAGAGTTTAATTCCGACCAAATTCACAACTTAATGGCTAACAATGAAAACACGTGGTGGTTTGCATTTAATCCTAAATTTGCTCATAATTCTTTTAATTTAACAACACGATAGGACTTCATGATTGTTTTGGACCTGTCTTGATGACTTTGCAGCGAGTACCTTTAAACAGCGAATGATAAGGACGAGAGGATCACTGCAGTTAATGGTGCTTGAGCTGGAAAAACATCAAGGAAATAAAAGCTAAATATTTAAGAATTCCTAAATCTTCTGTTTAGTCCTTTCCTGCAGGCTGGATATTTGCCTCCGTCACCAAGAGTTTCCTCCACTTAGAACCCCGTGAGCCTTTGTTTGGAAAAATTAAAAATGTTTAACGTATGAACGGGTGAAGAATTTTGGAAAAAAACAAATGCACTGTGAGAAAATCATATTCTGAACTTTTAAAGGTTTTTGTTATTTGGCAATTACATTTTTGGACCTTTTTTTTAAATACTATGTACATTCACATTAAGTTACTGATGTTACTTTAAATATATCTATATGTATCTATATTATATGACACCCTATGGGCAGTTGCTGAGGTTCCATTCAGTAGCTGAATTCTCTTCATATTGCACCTCCGTCCTCTCACTGTCTTACAATGCGAGCAATACAAAATATTCTACAAGAAGGGGGGGTGAGGGGGGTGGGTTCATCTCGTTGGTATAGATACAACATTTGAAACAATAAGTACAATGTGGGGGCTTCCTTTTCTAAACAAGCATCCTTGTTCTGTCTTCACCGATCAGCCCAAACTTAGATGAAAACAAAAAAAAAAAGGTAAACGACCCAAAAACAAAGTCAATTTTTTTTGTTTTTTTGATTTTTTTGGGATATACACAAGGGCAGCACATGTGGCATCAGCAATAAAGGACATTAATGGAAACATGAGAGTATCTACAAGCAGGTTCAACCCTCCCCACGTGTCTGCTTTGTGGCTCTGTCCAAAGCAAGCCGGGGGTCGGGGGGGGGGGGGGGGGGGGGGGGGGGG